GCCTTTGGCCCCCCCCCATCCTCTCGGCTTGCTGCCTGCCACCCCCCTGCCACCCCTCAGCAGCCCCTCACTCTTCTGTCCCGTCCATTGCTGGGACTTCTAGTCTTCCATGTCCCTGACACAGGCAGCCCCCAGCAGCCCCCTCACCCCCCGTCGCTGACAGTCTGGCCCCATGCTGTGATAATCCACAAACAGGCCCCCTCCTCCCTGCCCCCTCATGTACATCTCCCCAGCCTCCATGCCAGACAGGGGCAAAGGCCTTGTTCACTGGGCGAGTCCGGAGACCTGGGGGACAGGGCCCGTTGCCATGGTAACCCATCAGGAAGTCTCGGGTTACCACGGCAGCAGCAATGTGCCCCAGCTCTGTACGTAAGAGAGAGCAGGGCACAACCCCCTTCTGTTCTCTTGGCTGCGTGTGTGAGAGAAGACTGTGCTGCTTGCCAGTTTCTCTAGGACAACCATCCCCCGATCCCCTTCTCCTCTGGCTGGCTGACTTGACTGTCCATGCTGCCTGGAATCTCTTTACTGTGGAGGAATTTTCTGCTGTCCCCCTGAGCCTGCTGACTGGATTTATCCCCTGCCTGGATTTAACCCTTCGCCACCTGTAGCTGTCTGCACGGATTAACCGTGTTGCCTGTGTGGACTGCAACTCTCCGTGTCTGGCTAACCCCGTGCTGCCCAAAAGGCTGAGCCCAATTCTCCTCAGAACCCAAAGTCTCCTGAAACCGCCCCTTCACTGTCCTACTGAACCCTGTGGATTACCATCCCCCTGTTGTTCCATATTGCCTTCCAGAGAACTTTACTGTGTTGCTGTGTCTGGTGCGGATCTGTGGACTAACAGAACTATTGTCTGTGCCCCAAAAACCTCCCCAATAAATGCATACACGTCGGGTTCCGTGCAATCTGTCTCTGTGTGCTCTCTGGTTCTCGTGACAAGTAGTATCTACAAATCCAAAAATGAGTTTATTAGCAGCCCAGTGCCATTATTTTAGGGTGGTAAAGCCCTACAGGTTACCAGATCTACTAGCCTTGTGGCATAAACGTTGTCTCGTGTCCTTTGGGGTTGTGGCCGTCTCCTCGCCGGATAAAACTGAGCATAATATTAACAATTTTTGGTAAGGTACTTTTTTAATTCATTGAGATGAATTTATATACTCTGCGAGACGTATAAGATATTAAACTGCCTTTATTTATATTTACACCCTTAGACCTGACTTCTGATGAAAGGCTGGACCTACTCCTGAGACCCCCCAAGTGTTTGACGGGCTGGTCCAGGTGTATTATCCTGTCACATTACCGTGATTGGGAGTCTTCTTCTCTTAGCTGGTATGTCATTGGAGCTGGTAGTATCATAAAAGTGACCACTTGGGGGTGTTGTTATCCGTCCAACAGAGATGTTTTTTCAACTTTTTCAGCTTTTGAATATCTGAGGGTCTCTTTTTTCTTTGGCAATTGTTGCTTCGTGGGAGGATAGAACCTTTTCATGTGGAAGGGCTTGATCTGTGATACAAATATTCCTATTAAAGATAATGCCCAACACATTAGTATCATTATTGGGATGGCTGATCTAGGAGAAAATGTATTTCTCTTGCAATTATATACATATTTTATGATGATCTTTTTGGGGTGTTCCCTAGTATATATTACATTTACTTTTGTTTTCTTTATTGGTTGATTTTAGACCATTGAGGTTTTGAACTGTCAGCCATTTTTTGTGCCCCCATATCTGGCCTGTCAAGCGGCCTCTTGCCTTGTGGAATATACAGAGGAGGCCCACCCCTTGCATTCGGAGGGTTTTACTGCTGCATGGTGCATATTAATATCATATGTAAGTCATATTATGTTAATGTATGATTGTGCTTCTTCCCCCCCCCTTTTTTATATTTACATGTTGTACTCTGATATATCCAATTTATGTATATTTCTTTTAGATTTTACTACTAAGCCCCCGAGGAAGCGATCATTGTCGCAAAACATGTTGTGCCATTTTCCTGTGGTTTAATGTCCTTCACACCCCCCCCCCCCCCCCCCCATGGGATTCATTTGGTGGTTGTCATGTCTGCAATCATTAAGGTGTTCCTTGTATATGGTGGGCAGGTGGGACATTGTCTGGGGGGACAGTATAACTATGACATTGTAAACTGCGAGATGTTTTTTTTTTCATGACTTATTGTCATAAAAGTACAGATGATTTTACCAATATATGTGTTTGGAATTTCTGTGCCCCCTAAAATCTACTTGCAATCACTCCCCCATTTTTTCCCCTTCCAATTTTGACTAAAGTATGGAGGAAGCGGGGCAATCAGAGCCTAACCCCCCCCCCCCCCCCCCCCCATGGAACAGAGCAATCCTTACATCTCTGCTATGGAACTGAATATTCAGCAATGACTTTGCCAAAAGTACAAAATATCTCATGTAAAACAGACGGGGCAAACAAGGCATTCTGTTGGTGATGAAAAAGGATTTTATTTTTTTTATACAACCCACAGACAGAAAAGCAACAAAACTGAAAAAAATATTTTTCTAAGTTTATCAGAGTTAGTTTAGAAAAAAACTATTGTAGATAAAAAAATAAAGGTTTTTCTCTGTAATTTCTTTTAAAAATGACACCAAAATTATAATTCTACTGTAGTGTGTTGCAAAGTTATTTATATTTGAAATAAAGGGTTCCTTTTTAAATTTTCTGCTTTAAAAAAAAACAGGACAATAAAAAAACAAATGAACAGAATAAAAAAAAAAAAAAAAAAAAATAATCAACAGGAAAATTACAGCTAAGGGAGAGAAAGGAAGGAGATAATGAGGGCTGATCAGAGCAAACTAAGGGTTAGTAGGGGGTGAGGCAGTGATCAGGGACACTGGGACTGGTGTGGTGATCGGGGACACTGGGACTGGTGTGGTGATCAGGGACACTGGGACTGGTGTGGTGGTGATCAGGGACACTGGGACTGGTGTGGTGATCAGGGACACTGGGACTGGTGTGGAGGTGATCTGGGGACACTGGGACTGGTGTGGTGGTGATCAGGACACTGGGACTGGTGTGGGTGTCAGGAATGGACTGGCCAGCAATGGTGGGACTCACCTGCCTTTTGATCTGCAGATACCAGGCTGGCCAGCGGGTGCTCCCAGCAATCAGAGACTCAACTTTGCAGCCAGCTAACACCTGGAACTGATGATACTGGTGTATTTAAGGGATGGCCAGACCCACAGACTCTGCCTTGGGTGTTGTGTTTGTCCTGGGCCCTGTATCTGTCCTGCATCCTGTTTCTGTTCCTTTGCTACCTGTCCTGATCCCTGGCTTGTGACCCTGACCATCCCTCTGCCTGACCCTCTGTACTACGCTGCTTGCTACCTGTTCTGATCCCTGGCTTGTGACCCTGACCATCCCTCTGCTTGACCCTCTGTACTACGCTGCTTGCTACCTGCTGAACCTGGCCTGTGACCCTGACCAATCTCCGCTTGCTCCCCCTGTACCTACCTGCCCTATTGATATTGACCCGGCCTGCCTGACGACGCTTGCTTGTATGTACTGTTATCTGTGGGTGGTTGGTTGGTTTTGGTTGCACTGTATTATGTTTAGTATTGCACTGTGTTTATGTTTGTATTGTTAGTGTTAATAAATTATATTGTTTATAACATATCTGAGGTCTGCGTTTCCCTGCGTCAGTCACACACCTCTGGTCATTACCCGGAGCCCTGACATTACACCAAGGCCAATCCTGACCAGAAGTGGCTGCACAGGGAAGCCATCTTGGCTTGTTGCTGGGAAGGATGGATCTGGATGAGGTTGTGTATTTATATCTGCTAGTGTTTGATGACAGGGAGTATGCTTATCAGACTCTGAAGGAGTATCCCCGGGATGAACTGCTAGAATGTATACGGATCGCTCATGTTCTAGTAGATCAGGGCACAGAGTTCTCTGAGGTGCAGCCATTGATTGAGGTTTGTGTTGAGTTGGTTTCATCTGGTTCCCCCGAATGCAGGATGAATTTTTGCCACCATTTTAGTGCAGACCAGGTAGAGTCCCTGGTGTGGTTATTAGAGGATGATGTGGGTTACTTTCTGGAGCGTTATTCCACATGTTCACCACAGACACTAAGAGATTGTATAAACGCAGTGCAGTCATTGGTCAGACAGGCTTTGTGTAAGCTCAGCTTTGTTCAACCCCATACTGCAGACATGGACAGACTTGTTGCACCCAGCCTCAGTCAGCTTACAAAGACCCAGTCCCTGCTTCTAACTCTACTCCCTGTATTCCCAACAGCTCCTCCAGTTACAGCCCAGTATACTTGGCTATCTACCGCATGTCAGTCCTCTGTTCCCACTCGCTGCACCTATCCTGCCTTTAACCCTGTAAAAAAGCCCTCTGTAGCAACTGCTCCCTCTCCTGTTCCATCCTCCAGATCTTCTCTGTCTCCAGCTGCTCCATTCGTTTGCAGACCTGCGTTTACTTGCAGTGCTCCAGTAGTTAAAACCAGAAAAAAGCGAAAATTCTTTCCATTTTTTTTTTTTTTTTTTATGTTTTTTGGTGAATACCATCCTGCCAGTATCCAAACCGGTGAGCCTGCCTTCCGTGGTTCAGCCTGAAGCCTCTACTTGGCCTGAAGCCTCTACGCGGCCTGAAGCCTCTACTCGGCCTGAAGCCTCTACTCGGCCTGATGCCTCTACTCGGCCTGAAGCCTCTACTCGGCCTGAATCCTCTACTCGGCCTGAAGCCTCTACTCGGCTGAATCCTCTACTCGGCCTGAAGCCTCTACTCGGCCTGATGCCTCTACTCGGCCTGAAGCCTCTACTCGGCCTGAAGCCTCTACTCGGCCTGAAGCCTGTACTCAGCCGGACGCCGGCATTCAGCCTGATGCCTCTACCCAGCATGATGAACTGATCCAGCCTGATGATCCTATTAGGCCAGTTGACTCGATGCCCGCTGTTGATCCAGATGATCCGGTACCTGATCCGGTGCTCGCTGTTGTGCCAATTGACTCAGAGCCCGCTGTCGTACCTGGTGACTCGGTGCCCACTGCCTTGCCAGATGACGTGGTGCCCGCTGGCGAGCCAAATGACCTGATGCCTGGTGACCCGATGCCCGCTGTCCAGCCAGACGATCCAATGTCTGACCCAGTGCCAGCGGTCATGCCAGTTGACTCGGAGCCCACTGTCGTGCCAGATGACTCGGCGCCCGCCGCTCTGCCTGAGGGCCCGAGACCTGTCGCTCCACCTGGGGGTCCGGCGCCTGCCGCTCCGCCTGAGGGCCCGAGACCTGTCGCTCCGCCGCCTGGGGGCCCGAGACCTGTCGCTCCACCTGGGGGTCCGGCGCCCGCCGCTCCGCCTGAGGGCCCGAGACCTGTCGCTCCACCTGGGGGTCCGGCGCCCGCCGCTCCGCCCGCCTGAAGGCCCGAGACCTGTTGCTCCACCTGGGGGTCCGGCGCCCGCCGCTCCGCCTCTGAGGGCCCGAGACCTGTCGCTCCACCTGGGGGTCCGGCGCCCGCCGCTCCCGCCTGAGGGCCCGAGACCTGTCGCTCCATCTGGGGGTCCGGCGCCCGCCGCTCCGCCTGGGGGCCCGAGACCTGTCGCTCCGCCTGGGGGCCCGAGACCTGTCGCTCCACCTGGGGGTCTGGCGCCCGCCGCTCTTTTTACCGCCTGAGGGCCCGAGACCTGTGTCGCTCCGCCTGGGGGCCCGAGACCTGTCACTCCACCTGGGGATCCGGCGCCCGCCGCTCCGCCTGAGGGCCCGAGACCTGTCGCTCCACCTGGGGGTCCGGCGCCCGCCGCTCCGCCTGAGGGCCCGAGACCTGTCACTCCACCTGGGGGTCCGGCGCCCGCCGCTCCGCCTGAGGGCACGAGACCTGTCGCTCCACCTGGGGGTCCGGCGCTCGCCGCTCCGCCTGAGGGCTCGAGACCTGTCGCTCCATCTGGGGGTCCGGCGCCCGCCGCTCCGCCTGAGGGCCCGAGACCTGTCGCTTCCGCCTGGGGGCCCGAGACCTGTCGCTCCACCTGGGGGTCCGGCGCCCGCCGCTCCGCCTGAGGGCCCGAGACCTGTCGCCCCACCTGGGGGCCCGATGCCGGTCGCCCCGCCTGGGGGCCCGATGCCGGTCGCCCCGCCTGGGGGCCCGATGCCGGTCGCCCCGCCTGGGGGCCCGATGCCTGTCGCCCCGCCTGGGGGCCCGATGCCTGTCGCCCCTCCTGGGGGCCCGGCGCCCGCCGCTCCGCCTGGGGGCCCGATACCGGTCGCCCCACCTGGGGGCCCGATGCCTGCTGCTCCGCCCGGGGGCCCGGTGCCTGCTGCTCCGCCCGGGGGCCCGGTGCCTGCTTGGCTCCCGCCCGGGGGCCCGGTGCCTGCTGCTTGTCCGCCCGGTGACCCGCTGCCTGCTGCTTCGCCTGGTAATCCGATGTGCCTCTGCCCGGAGTCCAGCCCGATGTGCCTCTGCCCGGAGTCCAGCCCGATGTGCCTCTGCCCGGAGTCCAGCCCGATGTGCCTCTGCCCGGAGTCCTGCCCGATGTGCCTCTGCCCGGAGTCCTGCCCGATGTGCCTCTGCCCGGAGTCCTGCCCGATGTGCCTCTGCCCGGAGTCCTGCCCGATGTGCCTCTGCCCGGAGTCCTGCCCCGATGTGCCTCTGCCCGGAGTCCTGCCCGATGTGCCTCTGCCCGGAGTCCTGCCCGATGTGCCTCTGCCCGGTGTGCCTCTGCCCGGAGTCCAGCCCGGTGTGCCTCTGCCCGATGTGCCTCTGCCCGATGTGCTTCTGCCCGGAGTCCAGCCCAATGTGCCTCTGCCCGGTGTCCAGCCCGATGTGCCTCTGCCTGGTGTACCGCTGCCCGGAGTCCTTTGTTGATTCTGCCAGGTGTGCCAGTCTTTGATATCCCGCCAGTTACCAGACCCAGGCGGTGGAACATTTTTTCCCAGCTAGGACTGTTTTGGAGCATCCTGAGGCCGCTCCTTGAGGGGGGGGGTACTGTCAGGAATGGACTGGCCAGCAATGGTGGGACTCACCTACCTTTTGATCTGCAGTACCAGGGCTGGCCAGCGGTGTGCTCCCAGCAATCAGAGACTCAACTTTGCAGCCAGCTAACACCTGGAACTGATTATGCTGGGGTATTTAAGGGATGGCCAGACCCACAGACTCTGCCTTGGTGTGTGTTTGTCCTGGGCCCTGTATCTGTCCTGCATCCTGTTTCTGTTCCTTTGCTGACCCTCTGTACTACTCTGCTTGCTACCTGTCCTGATCCCTGGCTTGTGACCCTGACCATCCCTCTGCCTGACCCTCTGTACTACACTGCTTGCTACCTGTTCTGATCCCTGGCTTGTGACCCTGACCATCCCTCTGCCTGACCCTCTGTACTACGCTGCTTGCTACCTGTTCTGATCCCTGGCTTGTGACCCTGACCATCCCTCTGCTTGACCCTCTGTACTACGCTGCTTGCTACCTGCTGAACCTGGCCTGTGACCCCGACCATTCTCCGCTTGCTCCCCCTGTACCTACCTGCCCTATTGATATTGACCCGGCCTGCCTGACGACGCTTGCTTGTATGTACTGTTATCTGTGGGTGGTTGGTTTGGTTTGTTTGCACTGTGTTATGTTTAGTATTGCACTGCGTTTATGTTTGTATTGTTAGTGTTAATAAATTATATTGTTTATAACATATCTGAGGTCTGCGTTTCCCTGCGTCAGTCACACACCTCTGGTCATACCTGGGAGCCCTGACAGTGGGGGTGATCAGGTATCTGTTACACATAGCTGAGGTCAGGTCAGGCAGCAGACAATAGAGAACGTCCATTAGAAATAAGTGTAATGTATAATTTAATATATTTGTATTTCCCCTTTTGCAGTCCTGGTGGGGGAACACCTTCCTTATATTCGGTCCCTGTCCCTAGTCACGCAGCTTCCCAATAATAGGAACTGTTTTAGATGCTTTGTTCTGGATCCTCTAGTGAGGAAAAATCCAACACAGTAATCATTGTGTGTAAGGGGGGGGGGAGCTGTGTTTTTCCATCATTAGCCCTGTCTGTACTGTGCTGGCAGATCTCATTATCATTCATAACTAGATTTGAACACTGTCAGTCCTAACAAAGGGTTGGAGGGGTAGAGGCGGGGCTTCTTCCATTGTATGCTAACCACCTTCTGCCCGCCCTATAGTACAATGACAGGCGCTTGGTGATTCTCATATGACGTCCTCCCATTCTCACTGCTCATGCGCGGCTCAGGGAGCGCGCAGCGCGGCGATCGCCGGTGTTCTGTGTCCCTCGGACAGAGCGGATCATGGAAAGAGCTGAAGATGTCGGTTCGGTCATGTGATCAGCTGTGTCCAATCACAGCTGATCGCATGTAAACACGGAAATGCCGGTTATCAGCATTTCTCTCCTCTCCAGCTGTCACGCTGACAGAGGAGAGGAGAGCCGGTATTTCAGCTTTCCGTGGAGGGGACATGTACACTGATCATCAGGGCACTGAATGATCAGTGTGGCCCCAGAAGTGCCACCTGTCAGTGTCCATCAGTGCCACATCAATGCCACATATCAGTGCCCATCTGAGCTGCCTTTCAATGTCACCCATCAGTGCCAGTCAGTGCCACCTATCAATGCCAATCAGTGCCACCTGTCAGTGCCGCCTATCAGTTCCAGTCAGTGCCGCTTAATACTGCCATATATCAGTGTCATGTATCAGTGCTGCCTTTCAGTGCCCATTAGTGCCACCTACCAGTGTCTCCCTCATCAGTGCCCATCAGTGCCACCTATCAGTGCCCATCAGTGCCACCTATCAGTGCCCATCATGCCACCTATCAGTGTCCATCAGTGCAGCCTATCAGTGCCCATCAGTGCAGCCTCATTAGTGCACATCAGTGAAGGAGAAAAATCACTTATTTACAAAATTGTATAACAAAAACTAACAAAAAACTTTTTTTCCCCAAAAATTTTAAGTGGTTTTTGGTTTTGTTAAGAAAAATAAAACTCTCCGAAGTAATTAAATACCACCAAAAGAAAGCTCTATCTGTCTCAAAAAAATGATAAAAATTTCATATGGGTACAGTGTTGCATGACCGCACTACAATTGTCATTCAAAGTGTGACAGTGCTGAATGCTGGAAATTGGCCTGGGCAGGGAAGGGAAGGGGGTAGAAGTGCCCGGTAGGCAGGAAGGGGGTAGAAGTGCCCTGTAGGCAGGAAGGGGGTAGAAGTGTCCTGTAGGCAGGAAAGGGGTAGAAGTGTCCTGTAGGCAGGAAGGGGGTAAAGTGTCCTGTAGGCAGGAAGGGGGGTAGAAGTGTCCTGTAGGCAGGAAGGGGGTAGAAGTGCCCTGTAGGCAGGAAGGGGGTAGAAGTGTCCGGTAGGCAGGAAGGGGGTAGAAGTGCCCTGTAGGCAGGAAGGGGGTAGAAGTGCCCTGTAGGCAGGAAGGGGGTAGAAGTGTCCTGTAGGCAGGAAGGGGGTAGAAGTGTCCTGTAGGCAGGAAGGGGGTAGAAGTGCCCTGTAGGCAGGAAGGGGGTAGAAGTGTCCGGTAGGCAGGAAGGGGGTAGAAGTGCCCTGTAGGCAGGAAGGGGGTAGAAGTGCCCTGTACACAGGAAGGGGTAAAAGTGTCCTGTAGGCAGGAAGGGGGTAGAAGTGTCCGGTAGGCAGAAAGGGGGTAGAAGTGCCCTGTAGGCAGGAAGGGGGTAGAAGTGTCCTGTAGGCAGGAAGGGGGTAGAAGTGCCTGGTAGGCAGGAAGGGGGGGGGGTAGAAGTGCCCGGAAGGCAGGAAGGGGGTATAAGTGCCCGGTAGGCAGGAAGGGGGTAGAAGTGTCCGGTAGGCAGCAAGGGGGTAGAAGTGCCCGGTAGGCAGGAAGGGGGTAGAAGTGTCCTGTAGGCAGGAAGGGGGTAGAAGTGTCCGGTAGGCAGGAAGGGGGTAGAAGTGCCCAGTAGGCAGGAAGGGGGTAGAAGTGTCCGGTAGGCAGGAAAGGGGTAGAAGTGCCCTGTAGGCAGGAAGGGGGTAGAAGTGTCCGGTAGGCAGGAAGGGGGTAGAAGTGCCCCGGTAGGCAGGAAGGGGGTAGAAGTGTCCGGTAGGCTGGCAGGAAGGGGGTAGAAGTGCCCTGTAGGCAGGAAGGGGGGTAGAAGTGTCCTGAAGGCAGGAAGGGGGTAGAAGTGCCCTGTAGGCAGGAAGGGGGGTAGAAGTGCCCTGTAGGCAGGAAGGGGGTAGAAGTTGCCCTGTAGGCAGGAAGGGGGTAGAAGTGCCCTGTAGGCAGGAAGGGGGTAGAAGTTGTGCCCGGTAGGCAGGAAGGGGGTAGAAGTGCCCTGTAGGCAGGAAGGGGGTAGAAGTGTCCTGTAGGCAGGAAGGGGTAGAAGTGCCCGTGGGCAGGAAGGGGGTAGAAGTGCCCGGTGGGCAGGAAGGGGGTAGAAGTGCCCTGTAGGCAGGAAGGGGGTAGAAGTGCCCGGTGGGCAGGAAGGGGGTAGAAGTGCCCGGTGGGCAGGAAGGGGGGTAGAAGTGCCCTGTAGGCAGGAAGGGGGTAGAAGTGCCCGGGGGGGCAGGAAGGGGTAGAAGTGCCCTGTAGGCTAGTGGTTAAAAAAAGGATGGACTTGGGACAGAATCACTTTCTAAAATCCTTGACGTCGGCCATGACACCTCCTCCTTAGAAACATCTAAAAGGTTAGAAATATTCTGAAACTTTTTCTGCTGTGTGAATCGGAACTCCTAAGAAACATACAAAAGGGGTTTTCTCAAATTTGACAGAAATAGTAGAAATACGCTTCCAGCTCACTCACCAGCTTGTCTGGTTTCCTTCCCTTTTCTCAGCTGTGTTTCTGTTCCACTCACTTCTCTCCTTTACACTGCAGTACATTTCCTTTAAAAGAGAAGTTCAGAATCACAATAAAACTGTCCCATCCCTGGATAGTGAGCCTGACGTGCAGAGGCCGGCCTCCCGTACAACTCCGACTCAAGGACTGCTGATGGTGGGACAGCGGTCACAGGGGCACGGTGGGGTATGAGTGCCTGAGATCAGTCCGGTAATAGCAGGTGAGCTGATGAGCTGCAGGCAAGGATCAGGGTTCTGATGTAGCCGTGCGGGATGGATGGATACCCGAACGCAGCGTGCTGAGGATGCAGGGTCAGATGAGCCGGGTTCGGTATCGGTCAGGCAGATCAGGCTTACAGCGGCAGGAGGAAGAGTAGTCGGGTCACAGGCCAGGTCAGTAATGGAAGATCAATCAGACAGGAGCAGAGACAGGAGAATAATCCAAAGACAAGCCAGAGGTCAGGGCAGGAAGCAATCAAGCGGACTCCTGCTGTATTTCTCTGGGTAAATGCATCTATCTCCTACCTCCACTCTTAACTAGAAAAACGCATTGCCTCCTGTTATATTCAGAACAAATGGTGTATTTATATCTGTGTATGATGACCAGTCCTCACCTCCAGCTGCACCCAGTTTATGACTGTAGCCTGTTCCCTGAGAACCATCCCCCACTATTCATGTGATCCTTATCAGTAGAGATGAGTGAATCGAATCAGGCGAAGTGGAATTCGTTTCGAATTTCAGGAAAAATTCGATTTGCATCGAATCCGAATTTTTGCCAACTTCGGATGGTCGAATCAAATTTTTCCTGATCGGCCGTTTTCATCCCTTCTACAGCCGGCAAAAAATGTCCCTGCGGAGAGCTCCGCTATTTCTGACAGTTCTCTGACAGTTCTTTCACATTTCCAGCGATTGAAACATTGTATCTATTTGTTTCCATTTAGGATACAGATGTTTTTATTAGGAAACAAATAGATACAATGTTTCAATCGCTGGAAATGTGAAAGAACTGTCAGAGAACTGTCAGAAATAGAGGAACTCTGCACATACACTTTTTGCTTTACTGGAATTATTCTTATTTTCATTCTTCTTCTTCTTATTTTCATTCTTCTTTTCATTCTTTTCATTCTTCTTTTCATTCTTCTTCTTATTTTCATTCTTCTTTTCATTCTTCTTTTCATTCTTTTCATTCTTCTTTTCATTCTTTCTTCTTATTTTCATTCTTCTTTTCATTCTTCTTTTCATTCTTTTCATTCTTCTTCTTCTTTTCATTCTTCTTCTTCTTATTTTCATTCTTCTTTTCATTCTTTTCATTCTTCTTTTCATTCTTCTTCTTATTTTCATTCTTCTTTTCATTCCTCTTTTCATTCTTCTTTTCATTCTTCTTCTTATTTTCATTTTTCTTTCATTCTTTTCATTCTTCTTTTCATTCTTCTTTTCATTCTTTTCATTCTTCTTTTCATTCTTCTTCTTATTTTCATTCTTCTTTTCATTCTTCTTTTCATTCTTCTTCTTTTCATTCTTCTTTTCATTCTTTTCATTCTTCTTTTCATTCTTCTTCTTATTTTCATTCTTCTTTTCATTCTTTTCATTCTTCTTTTCATTCTTCTTTTCATTCTTTTCATTCTTCTTTTCATTCTTCTTCTTATTTTCATTCTTCTTTTCATTCTTTTCATTCTTCTTTTCATTCTTCTTCTTATTTTCATTATTCTTTTCATTCTTCTTTTCATTCTTTTCATTCTTCTTCTTATTTTCATTCTTCTTTTCATTCTTTTCATTCTTCTTTTCATTCTTTTCATTCTTCTTCTTCTTCTCATTCTTTTCATTCTTCTTCTTCTTCTTCTTCTTCTTCTTCTTCTTCTTCTTCCTCTTCCTCTTCCTCTTCCTCCTCCTCCTCCTCCTCCTTCTTTTCCTTCTTCTTTTCATTCTTTTCCTTCTTCTTTTCATTCTTTTCCTTCTTCTTCTTCTTCTTCTCCTTCTTCTTCTTTGGCCCCGTGACTGGCCAAATGAGTGAAGTGTGCGTGCGGTGATTCTAAGATCGACGGCACTCATCTGCATGTCATACTGACTGACAGTATTATTTCTCTTCCCCAGCAGACTCCAAGGACATTTAAATTAAAGGTACAGTGTTCTGCACTAATATAAAGGCTCTCTGAAGCCTAGAAACCCTTTTTATAAGTAAAATTTGCAGCGAATAAATTCGAATCGAATCAAATTTTTTCGGAAAATTCGGCGAAATCAGGCGAATCGAATTTTTGAAAAATTCGCTCATCTCTACTTATCACGTAAGGCCATTCCAGCTCTGTACCATCATGTGGAAGGCAATGTTTTGGCCTCGTTGGACAGGGCGGTCAGCAGCAAGGTCCACATTACTGACACGTGGTCCAGCAGGCGTGGTCAGGGATGTTACATATCCTTCACGGCACACTGGGTGACTCTGCTAGCAGCTGGGAAGGATGCAGGACAGGGTTCAGTGCTGGAGCTCGTTCCACCACCACGCCTCCAAAAATCTAGTGGTGATTCTGCCACATCTGTCTGCCCCACCCCCTCCTCTTCCTCTGCCTCTATGGCCTCTTCTGCTGAATTGTCCTCTGAACCAGCAGTGCTCCGTAAGCATTCAAGGGGCTACACAAGCAGTCAGGCTAAGAGATGCCACGTGGTGCTTCAGCTGGTCTGTCTAGGGGACAGGAGCCACACCGGGCCAGAGATTCTGTCAGCTCTGCAGGGGCCGCTCAGAGATGGTTGACACCACGGCAGATTGAGCCATGATTGGTTGTATGACTATGGCACCTCCCTTCTCTCCGCCCTCCAACAGGGACACTTGACACATGTTCCATGCATGGCACACGTCCTGAATTGGTGGTGCAGTGTTTCTTGAACAGGTACCCAGGCTTTCAAGATCTTCTGAGGCAGGCCAGAAAAGTCTG